GATAACATGATAAGTGATAACGGTAATAAATATCTCGCGCACGTACGCGACCGGATTTGATAACATGATAAGTGATAACGGTAATAAATATCTCGTACACGTACGCGACYGGGCGGCCGGGAGGGCTAGAGGGCCAGCAGAGACCAGGGGGCCAGCGTCTATTGTGTGATTGAACTGTCTATTTCCCCCTACTTACGATGGTAGCCTTCCTTTCTTCATTCTTGATCCTATTTCTGGAGACAGGTAGCTCTCCTGGGATCGGTGCGTCGTTGAACCTTCTCCTTCTCCTCGTCCTCTCCCGAGCGATAAGGTCAGCTGGTGGCATGTTCGCCAATAGGAAGGCGGCTTCGTCCGAGACCGTCCTGTAGGCTCTGATAGCCCTCAGGGCGGCCACCCTCTGCGGTCTCCTAAGATTTCTGATGGATTTAGCAGTGCCGCTGACGGTAGCTGCCCACACCGGGGCGACATAGAGCAGCTGGCTCTCGACTACAGATTCCAGGAGTTTTGTCTTCCATTGACCAGGCCCGTTGATGTTAGGCATGATCCTGGAAAGAGCTGCCGCCGATGTGGCCACTTTTTTGGCGACCGTTTCAACGTGTTTCCCAAAGGAAAGACGGGTGTCAAGGATGACTCTTAGGTACCGAAGGCGCTTCTTTAGGTCGATCGGCTGACCTCCAATGCTGAGGCGGGGAGGGTTGTAGGCCCATCTCTTCGTCAGCATTACAGCATCTGTCTTTTGGTGAGCCAGTTGTAGTCCATGCCTCACTAACCAATCGTCGATTTGGTCCAGTACGGGATTCACTAGATCCTCAAGTTGCTCRCCTGTCCTAGCCAATCCCACAACCGCGAGGTCATCAGCGAAGCCGATCATCTGGACACCCGGAGGGACCTCCATGGTGAGCAGGTCGTCATAAACAATGTTCCAAAGGGTAGGTCCTAGGACCGATCCCTGAGGAACGCCGCACGTCACAGTTCTTGCAACCCTGTTGTTTCCTACCAGTAACTCTCTGTCCGAAAGCCAGGAACGAATCATACGCACCAGGTACTCAGGAGTATCCTTTTTCCTTAGTGCCTTATCATTGACCGGCCAGCGGAGAGAGTTAAAAGCGTTTTTAACATCGAGGGTGACCAGCACACAAAGCTCCACCTGCATGTGGTTGCCCTCGGCAGCGTGTTTTGCTAGTCTGGTGACGACCTCCACCGCAGATTCAGTCGAGATGCCCCTTCTGAACCCCAACTGGTTTGGAGCCCGACCGGAGTATCTAGAGTCCAGATGATCTTCCAACCTCTGAAGGAGGAGTCTCTCCAAACCTTTCCCGGAGTGTCGAGGAGACAGATGGGTCGGAAGCTGGAAGGAGTCTCCACTGGTTTCCCCGGGCCCTTGTGTAACAGCACCAATCTAGCCTTTTTCAAGCAGGCTGGAAAAGTAAGCGAGGTAAGACACTTATTGTAGATCTTCAGCGTGGACGAGGGACGAGCTTGTATGATCTTCTTGAGGATCTCGTTAGGGATGCCGGAAGCCCCTCCCGCTTTTCCCGAAGATATCCTCTTGGTGGCCTTTAGAAGTTTATAGACCTTGACTTGTTTGACTCCGACAGGTATTCTTGGGAGAGCTAGACTATTTGCGTTGACATGATTGTAGAATGCATCAATGTTGATCTTCTTCAGCGCCCATCCTGGGTGCCCAGGGGGCAATGACCTCTGCCTGAGGCCAGCCGGGGTGGGGATCGACTGGAGGAGGGTCCATAGAAAAGGTCACGTAAGCGTGGTCGCTCAGGTTCACTTCATCCAAAACCGTCCAGCCGTGGATCTCAACGCCTTTGGATAAAGTGACATCAATGATGGAGGTTGCCTCACCTCTGGCGAATGTTGGTGTGTCTCCAGTGTTTGATAGAGTAAGTCCCAGGCTAGCAACCAGATCGGCAAGAAGCTCGCCTCTCGGATTGTTGCACCGAGATCCCCACTCCACATTCCAGGCGTTGAAGTCACCTCCGACTACTAACTTAAAGGACAATACATATTATACCATTTATCTGCGCACACAAAACTACTAAGCATCCTAATAAATTCACCATCTTAACAATAGGAGACATTTCCTGCCATTAGATGGGATATATTAAATTTTTTGAAATTAAAATACCTATTAGTGAAAAATACATTAAAACCGATATTATTACCTTCCACTAAACCGATATATTTCGTCTATATAAATTCTAAAAAGAACCCACAGTCCTTCAGTACGTTTTAAACCGCTGTATACGCTTCGGCTTCGAGTATTTCCCAGTGTTATTAATTTTTTAAATGTTTATACTTTAATCAACATGTTTAATTGCGACCAGTGCCCGTCGACGTTCACGCGTAAAGATAGTTTGCTCAGACACAAAATCATACACCAAGGAATTCGCTTTTCGTGCTCTATTTGCAATGATACGTTAAGTACCAAGTCTAATCTGAGCAGACATATGAAAAACATTCACGGTATGTTTATTTTAATTTATATATTTTTTTTCAAAAATTCAATTTAATATTTATTTTACAAGCTGCTGCTCGCGTTCAAGATAATATCGAGATCACTCCGAATAGGTCTGATGAGTCAAACGGAGATTTTAACGATGGGTATGATGATATGTGCGTTAAGATTCTGGACAATGCTGAAGATGCAGGGCTATGCAATGTGACTAGTAAGATTTTTATTATTTTAACCATTTATTATATCCTACATTTTAATATATATTTTTTTTTTTTTTAGGCAATACTAGCGATATAGAAATAGCTCCTGGAATATATTATGTCCTCGACATATCTGCTGGGTCGTTTAACCAAAATGATATTCTGTCAAATGAAAAACTTAATAAATTAATACCTGAAGATGGGGATGATCTCTGTATGGATGGGATGGATGAATTTGAAAATACACATACTGGGCAAGGTTAATTTTTATACGAATACATTATTTTAACTAGAGAATAATCAGAGTTAAKTTATACTTAATAATTTCGGTCTAGTCACCCCATGATAAATGAAATGTTTATTTTCTACTAGCGTTCAAAAAGTAACTTATACATATTTATAATTTTAGATTATTATACAACGATAGGTAGTAAACGTACGCACATAGAAAATACTCCAACTGCAGTAAAAGCAAAAAAAGTTAGACTTCAGAAAGCAAATTCAATAGGATTCGAAGAAATTCAATCAGCCCATAATCGTAAGGTCGCATGGTATTATTATAAAAATCTGAATAATATACAAAATTATTCAGAGTTCTACGAGTCCATCACACCAGCATTTTTAGAGACCTTTAATACTCACAATCTACCAATTATGTTAAATTTGAAAATTGAGAGCACATATAGTAGACCTAACGTGGAAAATTCCTCCGAGAATAGAGCTTTTAAAACCTCGGCCAGGGAGATTTTCGTGGATAGTAATGTACCCTCAATTTTGGAAGAAAGTTTTAAKAAACTAAAATTCGAGGATGAGAATACACTAGCAAGGGTTTTGGATTTTCATTCCAACACATCGATGGAATGTTATTAGGAATATATACATTTTCACCAATGTCGGGTTCATCATATTTGCCACTACCAGCTAGCATTGATAGAAAAAGGGCGACAATCAATCCTCAAAATTTGGATCAGCAATGT